TGAGAACGTGAAGGCGAAGATCCAGGACAAGGAGGGCATTCCGCCGGACCAGCAGCGCCTGATCTTCGCTGGCAAGCAGCTGGAGGACGGCCGCACGCTCGCAGACTACAACATCCAGAAGGAGTCCACGCTGCACCTTGTGCTGCGCCTGCGCGGCGGCATGCAGATCTTCGTGAAGACACTGACGGGCAAGACGATCGCGCTCGAGGTGGAATCCAGCGACACCATTGAGAACGTGAAGGCGAAGATCCAGGACAAGGAGGGCATTCCGCCGGACCAGCAGCGCCTGATCTTCGCTGGCAAGCAGCTGGAGGACGGCCGCACGCTCGCAGACTACAACATCCAGAAGGAGTCCACGCTGCACCTTGTGCTGCGCCTGCGCGGCGGCATGCAGATCTTCGTGAAGACACTGACGGGCAAGACGATCGCGCTCGAGGTGGAGTCCAGCGACACCATTGAGAACGTGAAGGCGAAGATCCAGGACAAGGAGGGCATTCCGCCGGACCAGCAGCGCCTGATCTTCGCTGGCAAGCAGCTGGAGGACGGCCGCACGCTCGCAGACTACAACATCCAGAAGGAGTCCACGCTGCACCTTGTGCTGCGCCTGCGCGGCGGCATGCAGATCTTCGTGAAGACACTGACGGGCAAGACGATTGCGCTCGAGGTGGAATCCAGCGACACCATTGAGAACGTGAAGGCGAAGATCCAGGACAAGGAGGGCATTCCGCCGGACCAGCAGCGCCTGATCTTCGCTGGCAAGCAGCTGGAGGACGGCCGCACGCTCGCAGACTACAACATCCAGAAGGAGTCCACGCTGCACCTTGTGCTGCGCCTGCGCGGCGGCATGCAGATCTTCGTGAAGACACTGACGGGCAAGACGATCGCGCTCGAGGTGGAATCCAGCGACACCATTGAGAACGTGAAGGCGAAGATCCAGGACAGGAGGGCATTCCGCCGGACCAGCAGCGCCTGATCTTCGCTGGCAAGCAGCTGGAGGACGGCCGCACGCTCGCAGACTACAACATCCAGAAGGAGTCCACGCTGCACCTTGTGCTGCGCCTGCGCGGTGGTGTGATGGAGCCGACACTTGAGGCCCTGGCGAAGAAGTACAACTGGGAGAAGAAGGTATGCCGCCGCTGTTACGCCCGTCTGCCGGTGCGTGCGTCCAACTGCCGCAAGAAGGCATGTGGCCACTGCTCCAACCTCCGCATGAAGAAGAAGCTGCGGTAGTCTGCGATGCTGTGGACCGACGCATTGAAATACACACCGTCTTCGGCGTTCCTTTTTTTTATATGTTTTTTTTATTGAGAAGATGTCTTGTTTGTTGTTGTTTTTTTTTCAGTTTTTATGATACGAGCAGTTTGTCCGACTGCATTCATGCAGTGATTGGTAATTCTTTCTATTCTTTGGAATTATGGCGATATTATTCTTGTCTTTTAAAATTCTTACAACCAATTGTGCCTTAGAGTTTCCTGCTTAGTTGCTATTAACACACTGTTAGGAACGCGAAACCATGCAGATCTTCGTGAAGACACTGACGGGCAAGACGATCGCGCTCGAGGTGGAATCCAGCGACACCATTGAGAACGTGAAGGCGAAGATCCAGGACAAGGAGGGCATTCCGCCGGACCAGCAGCGCCTGATCTTCGCTGGCAAGCAGCTGGAGGACGGCCGCACGCTCGCAGACTACAACATCCAGAAGGAGTCCACGCTGCACCTTGTGCTGCGCCTGCGCGGTGGTGTGATGGAGCCGACACTTGAGGCCCTGGCGAAGAAGTACAACTGGGAGAAGAAGGTATGCCGCCGCTGCTACGCCCGTCTGCCGGTGCGTGCGTCCAACTGCCGCAAGAAGGCATGTGGCCACTGCTCCAACCTCCGCATGAAGAAGAAGCTGCGGTAGTCTGCGATGCTGTGGACCGACGCATTGAAGTACACACCGTCTTCGGCGTTCCTTTTTTTTTTTCTGATTTTTTTTAAATGATTTTTTTTTTTCATTTTAATTAAAATAAAAAATTTTGTTTTTTTAAGTTTATTTTTTCTGAATTGTATTTGTTTTAGTGGCTTTGGTTTTGGTATCTTCCTAGTGGAATATGGGAGTTGTTAAATGTGGCATCATCGACTTTTTGTGGTTGTTGTTTTTCTATCTTTTCCTCCTGTAGTTTAATTTACATTTTTTTTTTTCTTCCTTTTTTTTTTTTTTTGCATATTTGAAGGTAGGTTTTGTTGTGTGTGTGTGTGGGTGGGTGGGAGGAGGGGAAGGGAGTCGGTGTATTGGTGCGCATACATCCTGTTTGTGTGTGTAGTTTATTATTATTATTATTATTTAGGTACAATCTGTTTCTTTGTTGTTGTTGTTGTTTTTTCTGTGTGTGCGTGTCTGCGTGTGTGTTTCCATATTTCCTGTTTAATCCCTAATTGTTAGCAGGGCTTTCATTTGTCAATCTCTATTTTGTATCTCGCAGTTGGTCTTGAGAAGAACAAAAAAAAGGGATTAGTTTGTTTGTTTGTTTTGCTTAAAGGTGAGAGGTGAATTATACGCGTTGGGAAGGGGAAGGTGAAGGGGAAGGGGGTGAGTTTTGTTTTTGTTTGTATCTTTTCCTTCCTTCGGTTTTGGTTTTTTTTTGTTGTTTTTTTTTTTTTTTTGTTTTTGTGTGTGTGTTGTCGCCACTCACACACGTACGCAAACGGTGTATGTTAAGGGGGGGGGGGGAGGTTAGTGTGAGAAATTAACGGGTATTTATGAAGTTTAAAATGCCTTCATGTGTGAATTGCTTCTGGAGGCCTTTTCGTAGACGTTTGGGGTGTAAAGATACATCTTCATCGTCGTTTTCTTCCGCATCTGCAGAAGCGACAGGAATGGTCTCTGGAGCAGATCGTGAGGAAATGGAGGGAAATTGCAGTACAACCACAAGTGACAGCTCCGTATCTGCTTCATTTGTGGAAATAAACCTTTTACGAGAAGACCTTAATGCAACACGGGATTATCCTGACAACTCTATTCGAACTGCCAAGTATACATGGTTGTCATGTTTTCCTCTTAGCCTTTTGTATCAGTTTCAAAAGGTGGCAAATATATACTTTTTGATTGTGACGGTACTTTCCCTTGTTCCTGGTGCCAGCCCTGTTAATCCATTTAGTACAATTTTGCCATTATGTATTGTACTTGGTGCAGCCATCATTAAGGATCTTTGGGAAGATGGAAAAAGACGGCAGTCGGACGACTGTGCAAATAATACACTTGCGCTTTGTCTTACGTGGAGAAAAATTTGTTTCCGTACCGGCCTGCTCTGTTCACGTGGGTGATGTGATGCTATGTAGGCTTGGAGAAGAAGTGTTAGCAGATGTGGTGATGCTTAATTCATCCCATCCTGGGGGTGTTGCGTATATTGAGAC